TACAGATGTTCTCTTCAGCTCATTCCAGAATACAGTAGCTAAATAGGCAGCAGAAATTAGAACTACTTCACATTAATACCTTGTACTAAAAGATGTATTCTTTAAAAATAAAGGTGTTTTCCTGCCTAATGCACTCCCTCCTGCTGGTGCACTACAGGTCTCATGAGTTTCTAATAAGGATTTCTAGTGCAGCTTGCTCACCAGCATTGTGCGACTTAAGCAAAGTGACAACCAATTAAAGAAAAAAAGGATGGCAGGTGGCATTTCAATTAGAGGTGCACCGATATATTGGTGACATATCAAATCGGCAGCAATAAATTAAAGAAAATTCATATCATCAGTCATTGGCTTTTTTTGCCTGGTGTAGCCGATAATGTCACCAATAAATACAATATGCCGTCTGGCTGGGGCCCCTGAACACCACGTGCACGTGTGCAGCTGTATGCATGTACGTGGCCAGGAATGAAGCCAGGCAGTGTGGAGAGCAGCACCCTGCACCTAAGTTTGTGGATGGGCAGGGACGTGCGGAGCCAGATCAAGGCCCCACAATGAGGGACGGAGTGGGGCAGAGGCCGAGAGCACGGCCCAGCCAGGGCAGTGAGTGGGACCCTGGGGCCAGGGAAAGGAGCAGGATGGAGCTGCAGGCTGCTCGTCCAGGGCCGTGGGGGAGAGGCGCTTCCCTGTCACTGAATGCACCCCCGAGGGAGGCATGGGGTGGCATGTGCTCCCCCCCCCTCAGATTTGTGCACACAGTGGAGGTGGGCTGCCCACTGTGGGCTCGGGGCTCTCCACCCTGCTGCCTTTGCCCCAGGAGCTGCATGCTGGACTTGTCCCCTGTCCTTCCAGCAGCAGGAGGCACAACTTGCTGCTGACACTGCTGCTGGATGGGCAGAGGACACGGTGTGGCCAGTGCGGGGCTCCTTTAGCAAAGGCAGCAGAGTGGAGAGCCCCAAGCTCACAGCAAGCAGCCTGCCTCCACCTGCACTCCACTCGGCTGTGCTCCAGTTAGAAGTGTCCCCGTGCTTAAAAGTGGTGGTGATGGCAACTTGAATTAAAGCTTATTCAATGTGCTTTAGTTCAAACACCCCTGCCACCATTTTTAAGCTCCGGGACGCTGATCCCCTGGAGGAGTCACCCACAGCTCTGTCCCGGGCTGGCCCCAGGGTCCCATTCACTGCCCTGGCTGGACAACACCCCCTGCTCCACTCCCTTCCTCACCATGGGGGCCTCAATCTGCCCCACAACACTGCTTCCTTCCCCTACACCTCTTCCCCTCCACAGACTTACCTGTAGGGTGCTGCTCCCCACGCTGCCTGGCTGTGCTCCTTTAAATTGGTTATCAGATGAGTATCAGCTGATATGCCTGGTGAATAATTGGCTATTGGTGTTGGCCAAGAGAATCCTTATCGGTGTACCCCTAGTTTCAATACTGGCTCAGGTACTTCCATCAATCCCTTCTTCTAGCACCTTTGCCCAGCACAATGCTTATTTGTCATTTTGAAAGTCACGCGGCAATGCCATCAATTGGGAATGGAAACTAATAAAAGAAAAGTTTTCAGCTTCTGACTTTGGGACACTGTAGTAGCGTAAGAGCGCATTCAATCATCTTAAATAAATATATTCTATTTCTGGAATCACAGCATGTTCAAGAGAATAATTACTGCAATAATTACAGCAGAGTTTAATCTCCATAATGGTTTTGATCAATTTTGGTCTAATATCTGGAAAATAACCTAATGTGTGTGCGTGTGTGGAGAGGGGAGGGAGGGTGGTTAAGAACCTGCATCTCAAAATACCTTGCAGAATGTTTTTCCCATAATCATATACAGTACTAATAAAATTAAAAAAAAAATATTACAGTAATTTTCTCCCAGCTGCTTATATCTGTAGCTTCAGCTACTATAGTATACTTTGTATACCTCAAAACTACATGTGAAATATCAAAGATAACTAAATAAATAAAAAGCCAAGGAAAACTGGGACAGTACTGCCTTTTTACACTTGAGACAAGATTTCCCACTCCCATCCAGAAGTCATAGAGGAGGACTAAGATAATCAGGTTTTTGTTGTTGTTGTTTTTTTTAAAGGCAAGATTTATACACAGGTTCAGATCCAGAAATTAAAGGTTAAATGCATAAATATTGATGGTTTTAGCTAGGTTAGAAAGGGTTCAGTAAAGTATGATACAACATAATCAGAAAAAACGAAGCAGAAAAGTATCATATTTTGGTTTTCTTGAGATATACATAAGGTGCAACAATTTCTTCTCTAGAGGCATTTGTGGACACGTGTCAATGGGTGACAGTGTTTGCTGGTATACTGAAGTACACACCATAGCAATAATGATTTTCCAAAATGAAAGGAATTGAAAATAACAAAAATTATAAAGAAAAGAAAAGCAAAAAGAAAAAGAAAAGCCAACCAAATACAGTAAAATGTTGGTCTGAAGTTTTGTTGTGCTAACAAATGTTACCTGAAAATACAGATACCCCTTTCTAGTAGATTCAGGAAAAGATCTAGCTACTGAAATCAAGACATCACTCAGAGAACCAAAGGCAAATGTCTAGTGAACTATATAGCTTTGCAGGATTTCTGCTACTCTCAGTGCCTAACCGCTTAAAAATTAAGCATATCTACAAAAAGGTTTATAAGTATCTGAAAACAGTCATATCCAGTAAATTGACCCAATCCCACCCCCTGTCTAAGGGAAAGTTAAGGAAAAGCAGATCAAGTAAGATATTAATTCACATAGAAAAAAGTAATCTTTTTTTGTTTCTTTTAAAAAAGGTACCATTAATATACAGAAATATCTTAAGGAACAATATTGAAATTTAAGTCGAAGGAGTATGGGGTGCTCTGGCAAAAATATATCTATTCTAAGGGTTTCTAGAGAAGTAAGTTAGTACCATTGTCAACGTGAATGGCCTGCACTATAAGTTATTTGGATTTCAGCTAATTATAATTTATAAAGTGGTCCAAAACTCCAACTGCCACCTTGCTATGACCTGACAGTTTTAAATGTTGACAGTTTTTTCATTGCGTTAAAATAATTTAGAAAATATTAATAACACTTTATTAAAAATAGTACTGTAGGCTAAAATGGGGTAGCTGGGGGCTCTTTACCAGTCTTATTTTTACCTGAATTTTCAAAAAAGCCTTTTAAACTTACAACTTTGTTATTTCCTTTTTCTCCCCTTTCTCTAATACATGCATCTTTGAGGGTGCTGTATTAAATGAGATTTACCCAGCTATCTGCTTTTGAATAACTCTTCATCACTAGTTACAACTTGTGTGGTATGTTGTACATCATTTTCCAACACTGAAACCAAAGACTTGTACTTACATCTACAACGATGAAAGGCTACATCTAGTAAGTATTAATAGAGTTACTGTCCATATGGCTATTACATCAAATTACAATTACAAAATAACCCCAGAAACATATTTTCAATTCAGTCAAGTATAAATAAGAATGCCTGATAGAACCATGTAAACTCTCATTGTTTAAAGACTTAAGTTAAAGAACTTCAAACTCAACCTAATACTATCAAAAATTCAGCCAGTATGACGAAGACCAATAGAAAATTATTGCTGGGGACCAATTTGGTAACTCTTTGTGCTATGATGCAAAAAGTAGGGAGAGACCTTGTGCTATTGAAGAACCCTGTTGATTTTTTAAGTCTAGGAATCATTTCTAATAACCGTTTTGCATCTGTTGGTAGCAAACAACTGCCTGGATTATACAGCGTTTTAAGTCAAGATAGTGAAGATGCAGGCCAAGTGATACACTTGGTCTGACTTTTGGGATGTTCTTGTAAAAGCAGAATACAAAAACCAAACAAAAGCAAAGACAGGAAACTGGCAGGTGGACCTCTGCCTAAATTTAGTCAAACATTATTTTTCTGTCACGGCTTACTTGCATACAACTCACCCACCTTACGAACACAAACTATAATAGTCTCTTTAAACAACCCACTAGTTCAATTTAGACTGTGCATAGCAATTACAACAATGCCAGTGTCTGTAAAAGTTATATGTATTGGTGTGCATGTATATTGAAAAGTCATGTTTTCAAGGTTTTCAGAACAGCCAAGTAATACTAAGGTCACTTCTGAACAATGTATCTGTAGTACTTTTTTTGTTGTTTTTGTTTATATGAACAATTCACCCAGTCATTTAGACCTCTATTTAAAAATAAAGGAGCCCTCTCCAAGGCATGAAAGACAAGTCAATTGTTTGCAGTACCATTCTTTCCTTACATCACCTCTTTTTCTAATGCAAATCTTCCTGGTTATTCCATGCTAAATTTCAAAGAAAAAAAAAAACAAAAAAAAAAAAACATAGCCTGTCAGAATTTTTGCCAGTAAACTACCACTCTGGTGGCAAATATAAAAGTGCAGAACATCTGGACCACATGGCTGCACAAACACCGCTAACAATGGTACATATGTCCATGCTGCCTTGAGTTCTCCGGAACAGATTTTAAATTCGTTCTACAATATAAATGTAGGCATAACCTATTATATAAACCATCTTAGAACTTAAATCTTCATGTACAAAAATGACTAAGAATATCTAATAATAACTAGTGCAGTGCGTCAGGTTTTTTTTTCTTCTTTTTCTGTATTTTTGTTTAGAATAACTAGATATTATATGAAACTAGTTTTCCATACTCTGGTTGGTAAAGGAGATGCTGTGTGAGCTACAGTAAAGGCAGCCTTTATCATGTAAACCACCTATTTACCGTTTAAAAGCCTTCAATAGAAAGCAAGCTCCAGGATCATTCCATGTTCATTATTAGACAAATAACACCACCCTCTTACATACTGGGTTCCGATTGGAGGACCTGGCCCAAGTTGCTAAGTTCTGGCTTCCAGTGAAATCTGGGCCAGTCAGAGCAATAAGCACTTGTTTGCAGTCTATATTTTCCATCATATGGACTGACTAGCTTCCCTTGGTAAAGACAAGGCTAGGATATTAGGTAAAGCACGACATTTTACAATAAAGTGGAGCGTCACTGGTCAGCACAGGATATAAGCACTGGAGCCTGAGACATTTCTTTTGGCTGTCCATCATGTGGGAGAGGTGTGGCCCTCTGACTTCTGCAAAAGAAGAAAGAAAAGCCACCTGTAATCATCCGCAGAATGTAAGGAAGAATTATCAAAGAACAGAAAGGATGAGACTCTGTGGATGAACTGCATTCACAGCATTACTATGTCATATATTACTATAACTTTATTACCGTATCATAAACCTCTGCTGCTATTGTTTCCCTTAACACCACTGGGTTATATATTGCCTATTTTGACGCATGCTACAACAAGAAAACAGCCACATAAACATCCTCTTGATAGAACCCAATATAATGCAAAATATTTGAAGTCAAGAGGAACAACTCCTAATCATGTCTGACTAGGACAAATGCCCAAGAGAAAATACAATCCAACTAATACATTAAGTACTGCCACTGATACCATAAGTGGCACCAAGAACTCTGAAAAACAGAGTACTGCTTACTTGCTTGAAGAGACTGTTGCTGTGTGTTACCTGTCAGCTCTATGTTCTTGGGGAACCCCAGCACAGCGCCCAGCCTGTCTGACTCACAAAGGACTCTCACCTCCACCCCACCACCTCTGCCTGAAAGGACTTCCAAAAGACAATGAAGATTCAGTGGGAGACGCACCTAAAGCCCTCCAGGCAAGGGTGATAGGAGTGAAGCAACTCCCCTGGTCTCATTTACATCGGAGATGGAACCGGATGGCAACTCATTTACATGGGAGATGGGGCAGGAAAGCACCTTCATCAGCATTCAGGATAGAGAACAGAGATTCAAAGGACCACGCTGAACTCTGGGAGCAGAGAAGCAGGGGAGCATTGCATGATGGGGGATCCCTGCTCCAAATGCTAATCAGCTTACATCTGCGCACACACAGCTCAGCATTTATCAGACCAATTCTAGTAATGACTCCTTTATTGGTACCCAAAACACTGAATCTGCCTGTCTGTATTGTGAGCTCCCTCAGAGTGATGCCACCCATGGCCAGGGGTGATCAGTTCCTATTATCCAGCATAGGAGCCATCGTTTACCCATAAACAAACCTAGTGTTCTCCCTTGAGCCATTGATCATTCTCTACAAAACCCCCTACCCAAGCTCTAGTTTCTGTCCTGGTGCTTGGATCCAAAAGCTGCACTAGTTCCACTCCTTTTCTGCCTCAAGACTGATCATGCCAAGGGCTCTGCCTGTCTGCAAGCTCCAACAAACACTTGGGAACCTCGACTGGTTCAAACTTCACTGAGTGGTGAGACCCCAACTCTCTCTCTCTCTCTCTCTCTGACTCCAGGAACCTGACTTTCACTCTCTTACTCCAGGCACAGCTTTCTAAACCTGACTTTTGCTGATCAAACTTGAGCTATACTTCCCCAAATACCTAACTGAGACTATGTAGTATTGTAACTGTTTTATTTGTCTCTTGTATGGCTATTACTACTGGTATCATCATAAGTTCATATACCTAGCAATAAATAACTTTTATGGTCAAGCTGGTTGCTATACTCTCTCTCTGAACTTCACTTACGCTTCTTTCCTCTGGACCTCCCCATATGATTTGCAGCAACGCTTCTTTTACCTAAGCCAAAGATCCCTGCATTGCCCAAAGCTACAGTGGGGTCTGCTCATCAAGGGAGTTACTAGGACCATTGTGACAAGAGATTGGGATGTGCTGAGTTTTGAGGCACATGAGGGTATCAGCTGAAAGTGCCGATCGGACCCAGCCTGCTCAGACATACTCTGTTAAGTGTGTGTGTGTTTTGTGTGTCTAACTGCATTTATTATTGTCCTGCTGTTCTGCTGAAATAAGGGATGAACTGAGTTCAAGGCATATGAGGGTGTTAGCCTGTCAATGCTGAATAACCCGGCCCAGCTCAGGCGTGCCCTGTTAATCTGTGTGCGTATGTATGTATGTGTGTTTGACTGATCTGGTAGTTGGAGGAACCCAGCTCCATTGAACCCGAGTCCTGTAAGATAGCTCCATTGGGGGTGAGGACTTGCAGAAGGGAGAGATACAGCTCCACATAGAAACACAAGTAACACAAACAGCACATTGATGGAATCATAAATTTCTCAGAAACATACCCCTAATAAATGAACACACCCCAAAGTGACAGGCAAATCTAGTAACATATGCAAGGAAATATGCATTAGGTGTTACCACAAATTGATCCCCAAGGTTTAAGAAACAATGGTAAAATACACCACCAAGAACCTCTCTATACTTCATACATTCCAGGAACAGTAAAACAAAAACCACTGAGTGTCCTACAGATAGCAAAGCATTTTGGTCCCCCTAAGATGCAACGTGAACTTTACAAGAACTGATATTTCATCAACTGCAACCATAAGGAAATGGTGGTTTTATATCAGTGCTAGTCTGCACATAATACCCATGAGCTGGGTTTCATAGAGATGAACTGCCAAAGAAGTCCATCTGTGCCAGAATGACATGCTGGTATTTAAACTGAATCACTGACGCAGATGGACTTTGAGATCTCATTTGCAGTTCACCTTTTAAATTTGAACAGATGGTACATCTTTGTTCTTTTTTATCAACAAAAAAACAAAATATCACAAGTGAGTTCAAATATCTAGTAAGAAAACCTTTTGGGCCCAATTCTTCTTTACACAAACATTTTTTAACTGCTTTACCAATGTCAAGGTACCTTAAAGCAAGCGTGGGTGCAGATGTGTTCTGAACCCACTTAATGCTGCCACAGTGATATAAAGCAGCTTTAGTGCAAGAGAGAATCGGGCCCTTTGTACAGTGAAATCTAGTGATTCAGGGCGTGTGGGTTTTAAAAAACACCACTTCAATTTAGGGCCAATTAAATCCCCGTGTTGTGCACATGCCTTGCTGACTTACCTGCCTCTCTGGTGGGGAGGGGAGGGTGAGCTGCCAGTGGGCGGAGCAGTTCCTGGGCTGCAGGAGGGGCTGATGCTTTCCTTCACAGCAGCGGCGGCCCCCCCACCAGGCGGCCCGCGCACACAGGCATCTGGCTCAGGCAGTCCCAGGGGGCACCGCAGCCACGAAGGGAAGCACTGGACCCCCGTGCAGGTCAGGCAGGCAGGCAGGCTCCAGGGGTAGGAGAGAGAGAGATCAGGTTCACCTCTTTTCTTGGGCAGAGCCTTCCTGCAGAGCCGCACAGAGCCCAGTGCTGTACTCCATGGCTGTAGGGGCAGCAAACTAAAACTCCCTGAAGGAGTTTTAGTTTGCTGCGCCCCAAGTCATTTAAGGTGCATTACACTGCCAAATTTCCTACAGCGGCTGGAATTAATGCGCAATATGCAACAGGCATGCAAACACTGACACCATTAAAGCAGTACAAAAGCATTTAGCTCGCTTTAAAGCGTTGTGCACACACGCCCCTCATTTCATCTACACACAGCCTCAGTCACTGGGATAACACACCTTTGGGCCTACTAGTGGGTGCACTGAATCCCTGCCATAGTCTTACCGATTCATATCAACTATATTAGTAAATTTATCATCTGTTAAACTGTAATAAATCATTTTTAAATGAACCTATATATTAAACCACAATTAATTTTGCTCCTGATTATTAGCCAGCTTAAAACGTGTCCTGGATAGCACCTCTCAAGCCAGTCAGTTCTCACAGAGCATAACCGCT